TTGGCGTGGTCGATAGCTTCTTCTATCATCTCTTGCTGTGGTGTCCATGATAGGGAGGGGACAAAGGGCAGGCCAAGCAGCAGAACCAACTTTGGCAGCAGACAATGACCTAGAATAATAGTATTGCGACTTTCGCCTAGGAAAGAGCCTGCGAGTATGGTTTGCTCTAGTCTCACGCTTTTGCAGAATGCTGACAACACTCTCCTTATTCTTCCTCTTATATGGTAGGTACTCAAAATTTTGTGAGAAGATCACTTCGGCCTTTTCTCTGTCAACCTTCCTAATAGGCAAGTTATCAAGAATTTTCAGGTTTGGCAGTGAGACTATCATGTACTCGCGGTAGAATTTTTCAAAGCATATTGGTGAAGGATTATGAGATATACACTTCTTTGGAGCAATGTATGACAGTCGTGAGTCAGACAAACGGAAGAAGGGCTCTTCGTCATCCTGCATATCTAATGTGCCAAAAGAAACCTGTCATGGTGCAATAAAAAGACAACTGTCATTTTTTCCCACTCAAATATAGGGGCATTGAGGGAGGTGTTCTGCAGTGAAATCAAACTTTTAGCATGCAAAGCTTTAGCAGGTCGTAGAAGCAGAGAGATGATGGTGTCAAAAGATAAATTAATTTATACCCCCTAGTTTTTGGATATTAATATCAGAGGGAAAACATAGAGAAGAGTGCTATACGAGAGAGAGTAACTTTACTTTCCTGTTATCCATATCACTGGTGTTCTCAGCCCAATTAAAAATAAGAAGCGGAATCTGGTTAATTGTTCATGCTAAGTGATATATGTAACAATAATACAAAAAATAATTGTTGGTATACCTCATTTTGCAGATTAACCAGATCCTCCCAACCAGGAGGTGCATCAGGCAAGAGTTCCATGGAACTCGTTTCACGATCCTGACTTGAAAAATCCACTTCACTGTCATCAGATGAATCTTCACTACTCCTATCAATATTCATATCAGTATTATTCAAATATTGTTCTTCATTAAAATGCCTATACATGATACTTTCACCACTAACTGATGGCGCTTCATCATGAATACTAATCTCTGTATGATCTGAATCCCAGTAGTCATCCCTTCTATCTGATGCAGGATGTTTACGTGCTTCATCATCTTGTAAAAAATTCTGAAAGCGTAATTCAACTAAGGAGGGCAGTTTTGCAAGTGCAGCCGTGGTAGTCCATAAATTAGTGATTCTTGTCTCACACAACGAGAGGAACTTCAAATTTGGCATACAGGTAAAACACTCCTCACGGAAGTTAGTAAGGGATGCACTGGAATCCAGGTTAAGGGTGTGCATCCGCATAAAATTCCCAACCATGGTGAGCTTTCGGAAATGGGAGGACCTCAGATTTAGCACTTGGCATGGTAAGCCTCGTTGAGCAAGATCCCTGAAAAACACATCTAAAGGTAATGAATGCACATCAGCCTAAGTACTGCATAAAGGAGCACCTATCCATTTTACATTATGTCTAAACACAACAAATGGAAAAGCAATTTATGTGTCAGTCGGAAAACAGGAAAAAAGACACATGCTCACTGTAAAGAAGACGATCAATTGTCGGGTTAATTCTTTTGGATATTTTAGAATAGTTTGATTTCCGGATAAAATAGTTGGTTCAAAGCAACTTTCCCCTTGATGCTTCTGTTCAATTTAATTCTGAATATATTTCGAGTATATATAAGTTAACTTGCTAAAGATTTTTAATCTATGTCAGATAAGTATTTTCCCAATGCTGGACATTTTCATTACATCTTTACAAAAGTATTCTTTTTCACAAGATCATTATTCCCAGAATCCATTATTGTGTGTGTACCAAATATTTTGAGATTATTACAGATCCTCGAAGGTAAATTCGGACTGGCCAACAGTTAAACTTTAACTTTTTTCTTATGAGTTTAGGCAACCGATCCAGAAAGGTAAAATAAGAAAAGGACTTTGTGCTGATTCCTCCTGTATATATTAGTCAAAACTAAAACATCTCTTATGAAATACGTAATTAAAGAAATCTATGTGGTTTTTTTAAAGGAAATAGATAGAAAAAGTCTATATGTTAGCAAAAAAAAACATCACATGCAATTCATGGTTCATAATTGAAGTGGGTTCATTCCCTACCGTAAAGATGCATTTCTTTCTTTATTTACTTTTCCAAAATATACCTAATTAAAAAAGGGCTGCATCTGCAGCAAAGCAAAACAGATTATCAATTGTGGCAAAGAGTTGGGAATAGAATACAAAACTGTGCCAATACTTACAGCAAGAAGTCCTTGCCAAACAATATATCCTGGAGATCAACAACTCTTAGCTTTCTACTGCTAGCACGCAGCAAAGAAAGAAGATACTCCCAACTCAGGGTGCATACAGATCTATTTATAACATCTACTGCATCAATCTCAGAAACATCAACTTCCATCAACAAATCGAGCAGTGAGTGGAAATCAGCATCCTGAATGTCATCCAGCAAAATCACTAAGCTAGACACCTCATGGCGGGCTTTCTTCAACTTGGCCTGGGCAGTAATATGACAGTAAGAATGTAAGATTTCAGATGACACAGATGAAGAAACAAGCAGCACATTCTGCAGCAAAAGTCAAACAAACATCGCTAGCGGTGAGAAGGATAAAGGAACTCACTTAATAAAATAGCCACACCTATGATGCCAACCATGAAATACATTTACTTAGCATGCTGAAGAACAAAAAGTTTCTTGAAACAAATCTCAAATCATGTTAACATGCCCAATATAAATTTTCTTGATATGAAGCCCAAATCTTTCTATAAGAGGATCATCGTTTCCCAGAAGATATTCAGCAAGTAGAAGTCTACCTCAATGGGCGAGCAAGTGAAAACATGGATTTATAAGCTTATATTTTCAGTAAAGATAGCATTTCTGATGGTTGTAAACCATGGACAACTACAGTATCACAAACCTTGAAAAGAGCTGACAGAACTTGTTTATTAGGCGTAATTCCTCTAGCCTGGCAAGAACAAATGTACCTGGACTCAATTTGAGAATTAGAAAGTTCCAAACCATTTGTCAGGAACATCACAAAGCAATAACAATATAACATACAGCAAAACTAAAGCATCAGCCATCTTATGAAATAGCAGAGCAAGTTGATCTTTGTGCTTGGGGCAATGACGCAGCTAGTGAGATTCTAACCGAGGTGCGTCTATAGCTGGTTGAAAACTATTTCCAGGCCCCCTCTTCGGCCTGGTTTCACCCCTAGCTGTTGAGAATTAAAATCACCAAAGGTCTCGGGTTTGAACCCTAGGAATGAAAATAATGCTGGTACGGAGCGCTTCACACATTTGATGGATCTTAAGTGGCGAATCCGAATTAGTCGGGCCCAATGTGGGTAGCGGACACCGGTGAGAAACAAAAAAAATAAAAAAATAGCAGAGCAAGTAAACAAAGCGTTAGATAAATTGGAATTCAGCATTAAGAAATAAGTAGTGTGCTTCATGCCTGAAGCATAAAAGTTTATAGAACAGTAAGATTAGTCTTTCCATTTTATCAAGACTTTTGCCCTTTTTATTTATTTATCATGCTTTAAGAGATCAAAGTTGATTACAGAGTTTTGAGGTTATCAAATTTGTCATTTATTCTTATATCATGTCTTCAGAGAAAAAAGTTGATTGCAAATGTATATCCTTTTTGCCTCTATTCCAGCATAGAGCAAAATTACAAACTAGTATCTTAATTTCTGGACAACTGGACCAGATGCTTCAGTCTATGTTGACAATATTGGGCCTACATAGTTTAGTCAGACATAAGCTGGCCCAATTGTATACCCGGCCCAATTCTTTATTATTTTCATTTTCATTCATTTTATTAGCATTGTAATAAGACATAAAAGAGAATTTTCAGGAAATAAGAAGTATCAAGATATTTTCTCTCTTCTCTCTCCTCGTTACTATTAGGGTTCATCCCTTTTCATTTCTTCCAGAAAATGTGAGGTAATATCTCACATTAACATGGTATCAGAGCCTAAAATCAATCGATTTTGGCTCCGCTCTTCTCATCTATGATAGTTTTATCGGATTCCACCGGAGATTTTGTTCCGTCAAATTTTTCATTTCTGCTGGGTATTCGCTGATTTTTGGGTTTTTTCAGTGTTTGTTTGCGATTTCTGCAGTGTTTCTTCAACGTGTTTGGGTTAATATACAGTAGTGGTCGTGTTTTGCTCGATCGACAGTCAGTTGCATATTGTTGCTGGTTTCCTCAACAAATTTCAAGGCTTTTGCTCCTTTAGGTCGCAAAGGAGGACGGTAACCCTTCTTATCACAGTAATATTGATCGAATTTTGTTCTACTTAGGATTTATCTGTAAACTTTACAATTCTAGGGTTTTCAGTATGGGTAGTCCTGAAGTAAGTTCGTCTTCTACGATTGGGGGTTTTGATGAATTCATTATCCCTATCTCTCATCCCTTTTATGTACATCCCTCGGATAGTCCGAGCACTCATCTGGTGTCTCCCCCTTTGATGGAACTGGTTTTGTCAATTGGCGTAAAAACATGTTGACTGCACTTTCTGCCAAAAATAAGCTAGGTTTCATTACTGGTAGAATATCCAAACCACAATTTGATTCACGTTACTATCAATTTTGGGAAAGATGCAATAACATGGTCACTGCATGGATAACTAATTCATTGTCTAGGGACATAGCTAATAGCGTCATGGGTTTTGATACTGCTAAGGACATCTCGACTGATATAAATGAAAGATTTGGTACTTCCAATGGTTCCAAATACATCCAGATCCAAAGAGAACTTAGTGCAGCCTCCCAAGGATCCTTAGATATTGCAACTTACTTCACTAAATTGAGAGGTCAATGGGATGAACTTACCACTGCTTATGTTGGACCTGTGTGTTCTTGTGGTGCTTTACCTAAGTTCATTGAGGAGCAGAAGATATATCAGTTCCTTAGTGGTTTAAATGAATCTTCCTCCATAGTGGTTTAAATGAATCTTCCTCTACCTGTAAAAGCAATATACTGATGATGCCATCCCTTCCTTCCTTGAGTAAAGCATACTCTGTGCTTCAACATGATGAAAAACAGAAAGAGACTTCTGCTCCCATTCCCAGTTTTTCAAATGATTCTGTCTCCTTTACTGCTGCAACTGGTCCTATCAGCAACCATAAAGGTTACAATCAGAGGGTTCAATTTGAGTCAAAGAAACTTCCCGGTCCTTCTCGTAATGTAGTATGCAAATACTGCAAGAAACCTGGACACACCATTGATAAATGCTACAGGCTACATGGTTTTCCACCAGATTTCAAGTTTACAAAGAGTAGGAGATCTGCAGCCTGTGTTCAGTCTGAAAGTTCTGGTACAAGTTCTAGTTTTCTCAATCCTAGTCCTTCTGAAGTTGCTGCCCATGGGTTTACCAAGAAACAATACCAACATTTTATGACCCTGTTTCAGAATGTCAACATTGCTACTCCTACTTCCCATCTTGACAACATTGCTGCTGACAGCACTGGATTTGCCAACTTTGCAGGTGAGTACAACCACCCTGAGGTCCATTCTGCTGCATTTCATGCATCTGTAGTGTCAAATTTAGGTAGAGATCCTTGGATCATTGACTCTGGTGCTACAAACCATATGACACCCCACAAACATCTCCTTCACAATCTCAAACCTTTAACCACACCTTTCCTAATAACCTTACCTAATGGATATAAGGTAAAAGTCATATCTACTGGATCCTTAATTCTCAGTCTTGATATGACATTACACAATGTCCTCTTAGTTCCATCTTTTCACTTCAATTTGATTTCTGTGCACAAATTACTTCTACGGTTCACATGCATTGTAGTTTTCACTATTTACAATTGTATTTTACAGGGCCCTTCTCTGAGGAGGCCTCTGGTAATTGGTAAGGCTGCAAATGGACTGTATTTTCTGCATTCAGCTGGTAGATCCTCTCCTGTTTCTATTTCCAAGTTTGTTCCAGTTTCAAATTCTATTGTTTGTAATGTACCTAGTCAGGTTCCTTACTCTACTTCTCATTCTGTACTCTCTAGTTCACATTGTAATTCTTCTGTTGTTGCTAATAAAAATTATGTATTTTGGCATCAAAGATTAGGTCATATTCCTTTTGCAAGAATGAAGTATATCCCTTTTTTATCAGATAAGATTTCACCTAAGCAACCATTTCTGTGTAATGTATGCCCTATGGCTAGACAACAGAGGTTACCTTTCCCTCCTAGCTCTATCCATTCTACTGTACCTTTTCAACTTGTCCACATTGATATTTAGGGTCCCTACAACACCCAAACATACAATGGCTTTAGGTATTTTTTGACTTTAGTTGATGACTTCACTAGAGTCACATGGACTCATCTTATGTCTTGTAAGAGTAATGCCCTTTCCATTCTTAAAGCTTTCCTTCAGATGGTCAAAGTCCAATTTCAGTCCTCTGTTCAATGTTTTAGATCTGACAATGCCTATGAACTAGGTAGTAGCGCTGAAGCTCAACAATTCTTTACTGCTAATGGGATTCATCACCAAACAACCATTCCTCACACTCCCCAACAGAATGGTATCGTTGAAAGAAAACACAAACATATGTTAGAAGTCTCCAGAGCATTTTTTTTCCAATCAAAGCTTCCCCTCAAGTATTGGGGTGAGTGTGTTCTCACTGCCACTTACCTCATTAACAAAATTCCTTCTCCTGTTCTTCTAAATGTCTCCTCTTTGAAAAATTGCATGGTTATGCCCCCACTTATGAACATCTAAGATCTTTTGGTTGCCTTTGCCATGCTCTCAGTCCCAAGCCTGGGAGAGATAAGTTTCAACCCAGGTCCATTTCTGCTTTTTTCTGGGTTATCCTTGTGGGAAGAAGGGATACAAATTGCTGAATTTATCTTCCCACTCTATTTTCTTTTCTAGGGATGTTGTGTTCCATGAGCATATCTTCCCCTTTCTATCTTCCTTTTCTTCTGATCCTTCTCCTCCTCCCATATTTGTTGATGTCCCCTCTACACATTCTGTTGCTCTTGTCCCACCCTCTTCCTCCCCTGTCCCTTCTCTTTCCCCTTCCACTCTTCCTCATGTTCTTCCTCCTACTTTCATCTCTTCCTCTTCTTCTTCTACCTCTCATTCTTCCGCTTCTATACCTACTGTACCTGCTCCTGAACTTAGAAGATCTTGCAGAAATGTTCAAGCCCCTGCTTATCTTGGGGACTATGCCTGCAATTCAATTATACCTTCCTCCCTTTCTCCTCATGTGTCATCTAAGGTTCCTACAATTGACCTGCATATGCATGAGCCCCAATTTTACCAACAGGTTGCTACTAATCCTACCTGGTAAGAGGCCATGCTAAAGGAATTTGATGCTCTTGCTGCAAATCAAACTTGGGACATTGTCCCTCTTCCTCCATATAAGAAGGTTTTCCCTTGTAAGTGGGTCTATAAGATCAAACAAAGGTCAGATGGTACCATTGAGAGGTACAAGGCCAGATTAGTAATCCGAGGGGATACCCAAAGAGAAGGGGTTGACTATACTGAGACATTTTCCCCAGTTGTTAAGATCGCCACTATTAGATGCCTCTGTACTTTGGCTGTCAAAAGGGGTTGGGCTGTTTTCCAATTGGATGTTAATAATGCCTTTTTGCATGATGACCTACATGAGGAGGTCTACATGAAGATTCCCCCTGGTTTGGTGATCTCTGCTCCATCTTCCCCTTCTTTTCCTTTGGTTTGCAGACTCAAGAAGTCTCTTTATGGCCTCAAGCAAGCATCTAGGCAGTAGTTTTCAAAGTTGTCTGATTCTTTGCTATCCAGAGGCTACACTTCCAGCAAAAATGACTACTCTTTATTTACAAAGGCTTCTGGTGCTTCTCTTATTGTGGTTGCCATTTATGTGGATGACATCCTCTTAGCTGGGGATGATCTTATTGAATTGAATTCTCTGAAGGCTTTCTTGGATAACCAATTCAAGATTAAAGATTTAGGTGTTGTCCATTATTTCTTGGGTTTGGAAATCACTTCACATCCACAGGGGTACCTCATGAGCCAACATAAGTACACTTCTGACCTCTTGGCTGAATTTCATTGTGACAACTTCACCCCTGTTTCTACTCCCTTGGATTCCACTGTTAAACTTGTTACTGATATGGGAGACCCTCTTTCTGATCCTACCAAATTCAGGAGATTGGTAGGCAAACTCAATTTCCTACAACATACCAGACCTAACATATCTTTTTTTGTCCAGCACCTCAGCCAATTTTTGTAATATCCTCATGTTACTCACATGCTAGCAGCTCTTCATGTTCTCAAATATCTCTTAAATGCTCCTGCCCAAGGAATTCTCCTCTCTGCCAGCTCTGATTTGTCCTTAGCAGCTTTCTCAGACTCTGATTGGGCTGCATGTCCTATTTCTAAAAGGTTTGTCACTGGTTTCTATATTACTCTTGGAGGCAGTCCTATTTCATGGAAGAGCAAGAAATAGCCTATTGTCTCTCTCATCAGCTGAGGCTGAGTATAGGGCCTTGAGGATGGTGGTAGCTGAAATTTCTTGATTGGTTCGACTGCTTGGTGACTTTCATTTGCATATTTCTGCTCCTGTTCCTCTGTTTTGTGATAGCCAGGCAGCTTTACACACTGCTAAAAAAACAGTTTTCCACGAGCGCACCAAGCACATTGAAGTTGATTGTCATTTTGTACGGGACAGTTTGAGTTCTGGGTTGATTTCTCTTCAATTTGTCTCCAGCTCCAATCAACTTGCTGATATGTTGACTAAGAACTTGTCTGGACCTCTCCACCATCAGTTTTTGTGCAAGCTTAGAGTGTCTACACCCTCCAGCTTGAGGGGGGTGTTGACAATATTGGGCCTACATAGTTTAGTCAGACATAAGCTGGCCCAATTGTATACCCGGCCCAATTCTTTACTATTTTCATTTTCATTCATTTTATTAGTGTTGTAATAAGACATAAAAGAGAATTTTCAGGAAATAAGAAGTACCAAGATATTTTCTCTCTTCTCTCTCCTCGTTAGTGTTAGGGTTCATCCCTTTTCATTTCTTCCAGAAAATGTGAGGTAATATCTCACATTAATAGTCTAGCTCTCTTGCTAAAAATGATAGGAGTAGTATCCAAGCATGATTATAAGCCAACTTATAAACCTGTTAACTACTAAACCAAAATTACATCACTAATCTAATCAATTTTTAACCCTCTCATACCGGTCTAATTAATATGACCAAATTAATCATTTTGGACTTTCGAGAACATCCTAGTCTAGCACGGATAATTCCAAATTAGGGAATTTAACACAAAAAATAAGTGATTTGAGAATCACGGACCGAGAATATCAAGCAGCAGAAACAATGGATACAAATAGCTGCAATCTCAATTCTTAAAATCCTGCTAATCGACAAATAAAGTTATAGTATAAATTATACTAGTAAATTTCAGTCTCCAGTGAAGCATACCACGATTATAAAAGCAGACACGGCTGAATTTACATTTGGTGTAATTGATATGTAATTAATTCATTAGTGACGAAACTGGGAAAAAATGTTTAGCATGTGATGAATGATGAAAATTTTGACCTTGTTTCTAAGGACGAGATATCGGTGCCGGATGCCATGGCGATGTTGAGGTAGCTCCGACTGAATTACTCCGACACTGTTGGCCGTTATACGGGGAGAAGCAATTTTTGGAATCAAAAAGTCTACTTTGTTCTTTTCATCTTTTTATATGATCTTCAGCCCTTCTATTATTTTTTTTCTCTCCTGATCGTCCCCTTTTTTTCTTTTTCTTTTTCATTTTCTTTTTTCTCTTTTAGCTGTTTACATCTGTTTCAGTTCCAAGAAGGTGAATAATAATAATAATAATAATGTTATAAATAGAATTCTATTTATGATGAATGTCTATATTTAGAGAGATTTTAGGGTTTATTACTTGGTGGCTAAGTCACTCTTTCCTTATAAATAGAGGGTTCTATTCCATTGTAATTCATCCCCAAATCAATAAGAATTCTTTCTCTCTACGTTTCTCTACAATATTCTTCTTAAATATTGTTTCATAACACGTTATCAGCACGAGACTCTAACCAATTGAGTAGAAACTTTGGGATTGAGCATACTGATTGTCAATTGTTCCATAAAATTCCTTCATGATTAAATTCCGGATTTAAGGTAAGTATTTTACCGTATTTTTCTCTTTTATTCTATAATTTGATTTTAAATACAAGCAAAGACAATAAATTTTGATTATAACGGAGTTAGTAAGAAATTATAACCACTCGAAGTGGTAAATTTTCTATGTCTTGCAATGATCAAAGTCATGTATGATTGTGAACACAAGAAGTGAAAATCTGTCTCATTGAATTTGCTTCATTCTCATTCTCTTAAGAGAATGTGATAGTAATATGTGAAAGTCTGAAAGAAGACAAAATTATTACCGTGAAGGTATCAATAGTTGTGGACGTGGCAATTGACGAAATTATAATCATCATCATTGTGATAATGAAAATAATAAGTATTCTCAAAACAATCATTCACTCTATGAAAGTAATATTTGTCATCGATTTGACATGAGATTTTATAAAGCACACATAGATGATTATGGTCCATTCATGATGTGAATGTGACAACATCTAATTTATGAATACATATTCATTCTTGGAAAAATTTGAACGTGCTAGTGGTAGTGAATATACCACACACACCTCTAGAAGGAGGTTTGATATGATATAAGAAAATAATGTCATTATTATGGCATGAATGGTCATTGGTCACGTACCTATTGCACGCCAAAATATTTTGGTAATGTGATTATTAAAGAATAACATTAATGCAAGAAACATATCTTGCATATAATTTTGACCGTAACCATAATGGTATAACTTTCTCTTTAAAAGAGATATTCACCGTATGGATGTTGATGAATATGTGGTAGTACCAAATTAATTGAGATCTCTGGAAGAGCCAATTATTATTATTTTGGAGGAATAAAATTGCTTATCACTAAGGCATTGTGTTGTAGTAAGTCTCAAAGAAACTTAATTGAGTTTCTAAAGTATTCGCGAAAGCGGTTGGTCATACTGAGACTATAAATAAAGGAAAGATTTAATATCTTCTATTACTAAAATATGTAGCGGGGTAATATACATGTAGAAAGCTACCCGCTTTATTCTTCAGTTTGTACTACACAAACAAAAGAATGCCACAATAAAGTAGAAGTTTATTGATATAAAAACCCATATCATAATAAACTTGGAGTTTATTGATAATTGCACACATCATGGTGTAAATTTGAAGTTTATCAACATTGATAATTTATTCAATTAACATTTGATTTAGCCATATCAATTTAAGTATGATGTGCAAAAATAATAGAGAATTCACATGGGTAAATATTAAAGAACTAGAAAGTTCTTTACGAATTCTCTTATATTGCCTGTTCTCATTAATTAATAGATCAACTAAAATTGGGATTGAATCCCATGAATGCTGGAAATATCAAAGGTGAATATGGGTCCATTCACCTGTCATGTATACTACATAAGATGCATCTATGAGATGATTACATGTGCGATTATTATTAACCTACAACATGGTGTTTTGCGAGGTAACTTGCTCAATAATTTAATTTAGAGCATAATTTCCAGATTTTCTATTCTAGATAGTTTATCTTGATAAGTTGGTTTACATCACAACTGGTTTAGCAAAATGATTTATTGAGTGCCTCCACTTAATAGCTAAATTATTTCTTATGAGAACAAAATTATCTATATCAGCTTGATATAGGTTATATACGAAAGTATATTACATTCTCTCCTCACAAGTGGTTCAGGGTCAGGAATCAAATAATTCCATCTTATTATTATTGATGTGCGGTGTATATTTTAATTAACACCATAACGCACAAAGATGGATTCTCAAGGTTGAGGAAACAAGTTAGTTTTTTCTAACATGAGGGGGAGACACGATAAACAGTTGAGAAAAAGTTACGTGAAATGAATTAGTATGTGATCATCTAGATCCTCGAATAAAATAATATGAACTTGAAGTTCATAAAAGGATAATTCATTTGCAATATATTTCAAAGCATGCCAGACGCATTTGCTGACCCAAAGAAAGTAACTATATTCTCATTGAAAATGCTCATATTAAGTCCTAGAAGTACAAAGTCTAGGGTACGCTTAAAGCATATAGACAAATCGATTTCAAATAAAACTTCTTAATAAAAAAGATGAGCAAATGATTAAACCGATCATAATAAGGAGGCAAGTGATCTAGAAGATCACATGACATAACACTTCATAAATTTTCATGAGAGATTCAGGTACCTGAATATATGAATGAAGAGACCTCGATGTTATGTCTTTATGAAAAAATATTAGAACCGATATAAAATATTTATCGAAGACATCTATCATAGCGCTAAGTATAGATGAGGATATTAAGTCTATCGAATATAGACACAAAAATATTGGCCAAATCGAAGAGACACAATTCAAGTAGAATTGGTTTCATACGAAGGACATATAGTTTTGGACATGTAGTTCAAACACTTGAAAGTATAAAGTCAATGGTATATGCAATCAGTTTTCGATATCTTATATGTCTAGCAAGACATGAAAACTTGATATGCATCTAAAGTCTATTATATGGCTTATATGACTTAACTTATATGACAATCCATGAAGGATTTAAGTTGCTTGAAGCATATACAATTCTTGATCTTGAAGTACCACTTCCTCAGTACAATTTGTGCACAAATAAATCTTGCTATAACTATAAGCATGATAATATGATAGCAAGAGTTTTCACCTCTATGTGAAGATATTGAACTGACGATTCCAACAAGACCATATGAAGACAATACATCTATTAGGGATAATGATTTCAAGGTGAAACAAATTCATTTAAGTTAATATGGCTGATTTATTTATCAAGTCTGTACCAATGATCTTTTGAAGATGGTGCACAAGATTGGAATGCGAAGACTCAAAGATGTGAATTGATTCTCTCATCAGGGGGAGTTAATACGTGTTGCACTCTTTTTTTCTTACAAGGTTTTGTCCCACTGGGTTTTCCTTGCAAGATTTTTAATAAGGTAACCAAAAGACGTGTTGTTAGATATGTGTACTCTTTTTCTTCTCTAGAATTTTTTTCCCATTGGGTTTTATTTAGTTAAGGATTTAACGAGGCACATTATCTGTTGAATAGACATTCAGGGGGAGTGTTATAAATAGAATTTTATTTATGGTGAATATCTATATTTAGAGAGATTTTAGGGTTTATTACTTGGTGGCTAAGTCACTCTTTCCTTATAAATAGAGGGTTTTATTTTGTTGTAATTCATCCCAAAATCAATAAGAATTCTCTCTCCCTACGTTTCTCTGCAATGTTCTTCTTCTTTTATTGTTTCATAACAAATACAGTTTTTTTATTAATAATAATACTTTTCTATTTTTCACATAATAATACATTAATACTTTTGCTACTGAATGCTGAGAAAACGAATTACTTTTTGAGATATTCAAAATTTTAATTTAAACCTCTAGAAGATAAGTAAATTCCAAATATCTATGATTGATAAATTACAAACTCCTTTAGATACCTAATATCTATGGATAACTGTAAAAAAAATTATACTATTGCGTGTTACTTATAATCTGTCTTCTTTTTAAGATTGTAATTCTAATTAAACTCTCTCTAATGTAAGTAATGTTCCACTAATATGTGGGATGATGGTGAATATGTGATATCTAATGACCTATTGCACGTGCATAAGCGTATATCTAAAGATAATCTAATCTTTATTTTACTAGTAGAAAGAGAAAATCTATAGGTAATTGCTTAGTTTTATGCATACGTCTATGAAAAAATAATTGCTTGCCTGTTAACTTGAGCTTCTAGCAAGAAAAATAACATTGTATAATCGCTCTAAAAATAATGGGGTTTTGACACAGTTACTTACAAAATAAAACTATTTACCTTTATCTACCCATTTGTTTTTCTATCCATAAACTAATTACATTTCCTGCTCATAGTAGGTTTTGTGGGGAATTTTTTCTTTATTCTCCAATTCTTTTTTATTTCTATGCTTCTTTTCTTTTCTCCTTTTTCTCTCGTTTTCTTCTTATTTTTTTCTTTTTTTCTTTTCTAATTTCATTCAACTTTTATTTTTTTATATTCTTTTTCTCTTTATAATCTAATTTTATTTACTATTTTCATTATTTTTTATTATTCCTTTTTTATATTATTACTAAATAAAATCAAATTGTATACCAATTAAATGTAGTTAATACAACCAAAAAATATTAACTAACATATGATACCAGTATAGTATATAGCTATACCAACAGGGTATACAATTATACGCAAATAGTTAAAAATTAATTCAATTATTAAAATAAAATAATATCTATAGACATGTGATTTTTGACCCTCCCCGAGATTTTACACTTTTTAGCTTTTAGATATTTAGTTTAGGCCTAACATCGCTATTTTACCTAGTTTTAACTATTTTACCTTATTTTAAGAAAAAATATGGAAAATTACAAAAAATAGTTCCATATTTCTCTATTTAATTCACGTATTAGATATTTCTAGAAGGATATATTACTTTGAACCTATTTTTATTTTATTTTAATATAATCTTTGAAAATACCAAAAATAGTTTCACCTTTAATTTTTAGTTTTATTTTAAATATAATCAATTAAGAGTTATTTTATACCTTGTTATAAGTATTTTTAAAAGGCAAATTAAATTTTCAGCCTTTTTTTAGCCCAATGTTTGTAGGAAACTAGGGCTTTATTTTTGAAGCCCAAATCTTGTTAGCCCATACCCCATTTCCCTTAATGAGATAAAAAACCTAGAATCCCTGCCCAAAAAGAGGACCCCAGCAGCAACTCCCAAAAATCGAACCCCTCCACCCTCCATCGTTCTTTTTCTTCAGCAAAACAACGACCCCTCTGATTTGGAGCGGGGAGCAGCCATCTTCAACCTTGAAGACAAGAGAACAAGACAAACCCTAGAGCTCTAGACCCCAAAAGACAACAACCGCCACCCTCCTCTCCAAGACCCCAGCCGCAACTTCCAAAAATCGACCCCCCCACCCCATGCCATCTTCTTCTCCACAACACCAACAGTCATCTTCACCTACACAGAAGATCAAAAGGTTTCAAGGTGTTAGGAAGATATTTTTGTTTTTCAATTTTCATTTGACATTCTATTTCCCTTCAAAGTTCGCACGAAATATCAATGAGATTTTCGGACAGAAAAAAGAAAAGATTCGAAAGAAAAAGTTTCTAGGGTGTCGATTTCTTTGTTTTCCACATTTTGTCTTCTGATCTTTGGATTCAGTTCTTTTTTTTTGTATATAAAAAAAAAGAAAAATCAGTTCATCTAGCTTCAATTATACTTTAAAATCAGAAAAATACAAAAAAAAAAGGATAATTCCGTTGCTTCCTCTAGAATTTTCTTTTGAAATGGAGTCAAGCTGAAGTGGGTGTTTGGATTTGGAGTTTCTCTTCGAGATCGTTTCCCGGTTTGAATTTGCGGTTTCTGCTTCATATGATTGTATTTTCCTCGGGCCTTCATCTTGTTAAATCTGTTGCCGAAACTTTCTTTACATATTGAAGGAGAAGCATTTTCAGGTTCATTCCTCCCCTCTTTCATTTATTTATTTGTTGTTATTAGAGTGAACAAAAGCCTCGGGAGAGCCATTTAAGGGAGAGTTAATTTTTTTGATCTTTGTTTGTCGTGAGGTTTGAAGCATCTTTTGTCGCGTTTTTTTTGTTTGTTATTATTCTTATCTCAAACGTTAAGATTAGCTAGTAGTCTTACCTTATTAAAATAAAATTGAAGATAAGAAGGGATCTTATTATTGTAATGAATGGATTTGATCATCTCTCTGTCAAGATGTAAGATTTGAGTAACTTAAAATGTTAGAGCAAACTTTTCCAATTCATGTCTTAGGTAGCTTCTGATTCGAATGTTAAATCATGACAAATTTTGCTTCTAAACTTTTCTCTTTGTGTGGCTACATGAACTTTGGATATAATTTTCTTTACTTATTTCAGTTAGGATAGTTTAATATTAAGTTAGTAAAATCTTGAATGTGATAGTGAGAGTCCTGGATTTGACATAATGGAAAATTAACGAAAGTGGGGTGACGAGGGACACCTTTGAATGGCTCTTTCTGATGGCTTTAGTTCAATTTTTCTTTTTTCATGTTTAGCTTTCGTTAACTCGTAGATGCCATAGATGATCTTGGATGCTTTCTTTGTTTTAGATAGTTGATTTTGTCTCTTCTGATTCACATTTGTTACTGTTTATGCCTCTTTATATAGAATGGGTCGCATGAGTTGGGAGGAAAGACTGAGCTCATTAGTGATTAATGTACTTACATGCTTTAGGATTGGGCTCGGTCTAACAAATGAAATTAGTTGTCAAAAAGATTAACATGAATTAGAATTTTTTTTATTTTTTTTCTTTCTTTTATTTGCTTATTTTGTTACATCGTTCGCTAGGAGCATGACTAGGCCGACCACACCTGGGTAGGCAATCTTTAGGATTTCTGTTAGTTTTGAGGTGAGAGGTCGTTCCCTTAGTTAAATTTATCCGGGGAATGCCTCGAAGGATTTGTATATATTTTTATCCGGGGTATGCCCCGAAGTATTTGTATTTGGAGGCAAAAGTAGAGACTTGTAGTATTTTTATTTTATTTTTATTTTTATTTTATTTAGGTGGGGACGACCTCGAGCCTCTTGTGTGTTTATTTTCTTTTTTCTGTGTTTTCTACCTCAATTGAATATTTTAAAGCTGATTAGATCTAGTACGCAACTGTACTAGTTACGGGACTTGTGGAGTGCCTAACACCTTCTTCCTGAGTCAAATGAACCCCTTACCCGAATCTCTGGTACAGACTTAGTTTTGGAGTCTCAGGTGTTTTGAAAGGATAACATTATTTTTAGAAAAAAAAAGGGTGTGACATCTCTGGCGACTCTGCTGGGGAATTTGCAGGTTCGAGCTAATACTTGATTTTGTTGGCTTTTTAGGATTTTCGGTTGAGGTTTTTATGTGTTTTGTTTGCTTTATTTCATTTTATTTTATGTCGTTTTATTATTTGCTAGTTGCTTATTTGCTTATAGCTTTTCCTTTATGTGTTACTACTTTATAAATTGTCATCATTTGCATAACCTCGAGTCTTCTTTCTGCAACAAGTCTTCCGGAGTACGTTTGAGCGTACACGACCTTTTTGTGAGTCACCCCTGTCTTTAGGGGGTGGCGTGGGAGCGTGGAGTGGGCGGACAGCTAGAGCAGCCGCCATCGACCACGTGCCGCCCCAAATTGCCTTGTCTAGTGAACCCCAAACTTAGGTCAGCCTTTAGGTCATTTTTATTTGCATCATGTCATTTGGACCTAGTAGGGATCGGTCCCAGGCACCGTGTCCCTTTGTAGGAAGCCTATCCAAATTTTGTCAAAATGGGCCCGTGGCCCAAAAAGACATTCAATCATTCATATGTGATACATGTTGCATCTTTGAGGGTAAAAGGGTAATTTGACGGACCGATGTTTGGGAAAGAAGGGTGAAAAATAAAGCAAGTAGGGCCGAGTTATATTTTTCTTTCACAAATTTTTCAAGAAAAACCAAAAAAAATTGAAAATGAAAAATCCAAAATGATTTTGCACTTTCCCATCATTTTCCAAAAATTCAAAAAAAAAAAATCCAAAAAAATTACATTTTCCATCATTTTTGAAAAAGACAAATATATATATATATATATTCCAAATTAGTTTCATTTTTTAAGCTTTCTCTCATATCCAATCTTCCCGAACTACGCATACTTGATTCTTGTATCTCGGGGCGGGAGACGTAGGCAACCCACATAGGGTCCGATCTTTCTTAGTAAGCCTTAGGTTCTTGGCTTTGCAGGGTCTTAGCCAAATCTTGCATGTCTAGGCACTTTTGGCCACATCGGTCATTCTTGCAAAATAAGGATATTTTCTCAAAATGGCTTGTTAACCCATGTATTAGAGTCCTAAGCCCACAGCAAGGTGTCCTCTCAGCTTTAAGGTCCGTCCTTATTGAGTTTGCATCTTTAGCCACGTCTGGCCATATCGGCCGTTTCTGCAACATGGGTCATTTCTGTAAATTAATTTTGGGCCATGATTATTGGGAGTATGAATCCATATAAGCCTTAGGGAGGTTTTCCATGTCTTTGAGTCCATCTTTGTTGAGTTTGTGCTAATAGCCACATTTTGGCTACATAGGTCATTTTGCAAAAATAGCCTTAATCATGCCTTGCATGTGTCCAATAGAAGGTGTCGTGGCGTCACACATGTCTTGAGTCACTGATCTATTTGGTCTTATTTTTCTCATTTAGGTATGGATTCATTTACCACAGCTCGAGCATGATTGATATCTCAGGACCATCGCATTTTGGAGGTTATTTGAAGAGGCCTTTTATATTTTGAGTTTGTTTTCATGTTTTCTTTTGCTTTCTTGTCTTGTCTAGTAGTTTTGAGTCTTTTAGGTGGTGTAAGAGTTTGTCTAGTCTTTTGTTATCATACTTCCTGTGATGTATTTGAAAAAACAAAAAAATTATAAATGAAAAATTTAAAAAAGATTTTTATTTTTAGTTTATTTGTCCATTACTTTTTCCAGAACTACACTTGATCTGATTCATAAGGGACACGATACGTAGGGAACCTACATAGGGTTCGATCGAATCATCATTTAAAAAAAAAAGAAGAAGAAGAAAACAAAAAGAAGAAAAAAAGAATGAAGTTGTGGGACGTGAGAAATGAAAGGAAAGAAATGAAAAACCAGGTGGTGTTAGAAAGGAAAATGAAGAAGGAAATGGGGCAAGAAGAGTGAAATTGGGATGATGTCATATGACCTTCGTACCCTCGAAGCCATTCTAGAACCGTTAACTATGACTAGGGGCTTTGCACACAATGTGATATTTATATCTGATAAATGCCCTAATGCTAACATGTTGGCTTTGTTTTGCTCCCCTTTGTTACTTTCATTGTTGTGAGCACGTGATTTTTGTTTTACGCGACAATCGCTCCAAAAAGAAATAAAAATAATAACAAATGGTCCTATTGTACAATTTTTTGGATTTTACATGGCACTTTGTTGATTATTTATAATTTTGCCCATTTTATTTTTGTTAAAGCAAAATACAAAAATGTATGTGTCATGCGTAATTTGAACCGAGATCCGTTCGTTAAATAGAAAATCATAAATAGGCATCTTTGTCTGTGATTTTGTTTTTGTTTGATTTTACCTGTTTTAAATATTTTAATATGTGTGTGCAAATAATTGTATTAAGTGTTTATTTAATTTTAATTTGATTTACTTAGGTTTTATTTTTAAAATAAAGAAGAAATAAAATAATAATAAAAGAAAAAAAAATTCTCGGACTTGGGCCAGTCCAATTTTAAACAAATTGGCCCAAACAAACTCAGCCCAAAACCCATGCTTGCCCGGTCCGTGACCAGCCTACTTCAAGAACGTCCAAACGACGCCGTTTTAATCCAGGCTGATCTGAGCCGTTGATCTCTGAAAGATCAACGGCCAAGATCTCTCACCTCGAACCCACTAACAGACCCGACCCGTCTCACCCGGACCGACCTCAACCCTTTACCCTTGAAACGACGACGTTCCCTGTTAGTCGAAGGATCCTGGCCCTTCATCATGTCTCATCCAACGGCCAGGATCCACCTATCCACTAACTATATAAACCTACAACCATACCCTCCCCCCTATCCAATACCCCAGCCTTCGTCTTCACCAGACCCTTCCCCTTCAAACCCTAGCCGCCCCTGTATACTTTCACCATGAAAAGCCGGCGGCATGGACGCCGGTGACCCCACCCTTAACACCGTAGATGCTCCTCACCATCCTGAACCCAAATCCACCAATCACACACTTCGAATCCCCTCCCACCTTCTCGAATCTTCATTTGAAGATTCGAGTCGGAACCTGATTTACACCAGTCGGCCTCAACTTCACACCAGACACTCCCCAGACCCCCCTCGTGACCAAACCATGCTTGGTTTGGTCCGAATCTGACCAGGGAAGCATGAATCCCGGATCTAATTTTTGGAACCTTAGGGTTCCTCGTCACTGGTCCGTATCTCGTTTAAACCAAGAGATTAAGGTCGAACGGACCTTAATCGAAGTGTTTCTCATATGAGAAACACTTCGATTAAAGTCCGTTCAGCCTTAAGAGAGGTCTGTTCGAGTCCAAGCTAGGGTTTTTGATTTTTCGGGGTTTAAGGTGAGTTTTGCTTTCTTTTCTTTATTTGCTTTAGTCCATGTGATTGTTTAAAAGGCTGTTCATGTTTTGTGAAATTTATGTTTCGAATTTTACCAACTGTGTCCTGTCCACCTTGCCTGAACCTCTGCGTTTGATTGAGTC